CCCGCCACGACGCCTGGCTATTTCTTTTTTTTTTTGGTTGCAGCCATCATTGTTGTTTGGCAGGCCTGGGCGGGATTTGAACCCGCCACCTTAGGTTTATGTGGCTGGCGACTTAGCCACTTGAGCCACAGGCGCCAAGCCATGATCAAGATCTTAACCCCTTTGATTGGAAAAAATAATGTAAGGGGCTAGGCACAGTGGCTGACACCTGTAATTCCAGCACTCTGGGAGACCAAGGTGAGTGGATTGCTTGAGCTCACAGGTTCGAGACCAGCCTGAGCCAGAGTGAGACTCCATCTCTAAAAATAGGTGGGCACTGACTTGGCACCTGTTGCTCAGTGGTTAGAGCTCCAGCCACATACACTGGGGCTAGCAGGTTGGAATCCGGTTGGGGCCTGCTAAATAACAACGGCAACTGCAATAGCCCTCGTGGTGGGCACCTGTAGTCCCAACTACTTGGGAAGCTGAGGCAAGAGATTTGCTTGAGCCTGAGTTTGAAGTTGCTATGAGCTATGATGTGATGCCACTCTATTGACGGTGACAAAGTAATACTCCTTAACAACAACAACAACAAAATGGTTGGCGCCTATAGCTCAGTGAGTAGGGTGTCGGCCACATACACTGAGCCTGGTGGGTTCAAGCCCAGCCCAGACCTGCTAAACAACGACAACAGCAACCAAAAAATAGCTGGGTATTATGGTGGGTGCCTATAGTCCCAGCTACTTGGGAGGCTGAGTTAAAAGAATTGCTTAAGCCCAAGAGTTTGAAGTTGCTGTCAGCTGTGATGCCATAGCACTCTACCAAGGGCAACATAGTGAAACTGTGTCTCAAAAAAAAAAATTTAGGGTGGCACCTGTGGCTCAAGGGAGTAGGGCACCAGCCCCACATGCCAGAGATGGCAGGTTCAAACCCAGCGCCAGCCAAAAACTGGAGAAAAAAAATTTTAGTTACCCTATCTCATGTCTCATGTTTTATCTTTTGAGAGCGTCACATCATTTACAGATTAAACACCTATTTTGTCTCAGACTTTAATGAATGAAACGACCCTGAAGAGGAATAACCTTGCTTCTGGATTCAGGTCACCCTGCAGGAGAAATGTTTTTTCTTGATGCAGAGCTCACTTTCTTGCCCTGGGTAGAGTGCCCTGGCGTCATAGCTCACAGAAACCTTCAACTCTTGGGCTCTAGCAATTTTCTTGCCTCAGCCTCCCAAGTAGCTGGAACTGAAAGATGGGGGTCGCAATCTTGCTCAGGCTGGTCTTGAACCCACGAACGCAGGCAATCTACCTGCCTTCGCCTCCCAGAGTGCTAGGATTATAGGCGTGAGCCATCATGCCCAGCCCCATATTTCCAGATTTTAAGAACATGTACTCTTCTTTACCTTTAGTATCACCAGAAATACATCTTGAGGCTTATCAATGATGGTAACAAGGAAGTCTGAGTAAGAATAATATATGGGACAAGTGCATCAACTAGGAAATTCTTGATGTCTTACCCTTCTATTATGCCTAGAGAGTGTATTTCCCCTTTTACCTATGAAGAAGTTTCCACAGATAGCCTGGGAATTGTGGGAAAGATATCCTCATGACCCTGACATAGAATACAGCCATCTTGGGAGGACAGCTAGTGATAGATAGCAGGTCAGAGACCAAATGGTATGGTTATAGCAACCCCCTCTCCACACTCCTGAGATACTTTAAGGCCTGGGGAACATCAGAACAAGCAATGTCCTGCCCTGGTCCTGGCTGACACTAGAGATAAAACCCTGGTGCAAGGGTGGTGCCTGTGGCTCAGTGAGTAGGGTATTGGCCCCATATACTGAGGGTCGCAGGTTCGAACCCCGCCCCGGCCAAATTACAACAACAACAACAACAAAAAATATCCAGGCGTTGTGGTGGGCACCGGTATTCCCAGCTACTCTGGAGGCTGAGGCCTAAGCCCAAGAGCTGGAGGTCGCTGTGAGCTGTGATGCCACGGCAGTCTACCCAGTACCCAAGGAGACAAAGTGAGACTCTGTCTCTTAAAAAAAAAAACAAAAAACCCTAGTGCAAGATCAACACTTTGGGCAAGGAAGTAATTCTTTGTTTGTTTGTTTTTTATTGCAAGGAAGTAATTATAAGGTTAGTCCCTGACACAATATCATTCAGTCTACAGAAAAATAGATGATTTCCCTTCTCACAACTTCCACCCGAATTCCAACTACACCAATAAAAGTCTTTTCTTTTTTTGAGACAGAGTTTTAAGCTGTTGCCTTTGGTAGAGTGCTGTGGCATCATAGCTCACAGCTTCCTCCAACTCTTGGGCTCAATAGATCCTCTTGTCTCAGTTTTTCTATTTTTATTAGAGACGAGGTCTCGCTTTTTGCTCACGCAGGTCTCGAACTCATGAGCTCAAGTGATCCACCTGCCTCTCCCTCCCAGAGTGTTGGGATTAGAGAGGTGAACCACCACATCCGGCCTTTTTTGTTGTGGGTTTGTTTTTCGTTTTTTTGAGACAGTCTCACTATGTTGCCCTCGGTAGAGTGCTGTGGCGTCACAGCTCACTGCAACCTCAAACTCTCCAGCCAAGCGATTCTCCTGCCTCAGCCTCCCAAGTACCTGGGACTACAGGTGCCCGCCATAAAGCCTGGCTATTTTTTGTTTCAGTTGTCATTGTTGTTTGGCAGGCCCAGGCTGGATTCGAACCCTCCCGCTCTGGTGTATGTGGCTGGCGCAGATCCAGCCTAAAAATCCCTTGAAACTGTGAGCTAGGAGCTGACTTCTAGTCTGACTCTTCTTTCACTCTTCTAATAAAGTCTTTCCAACCCCTGGACTGGCCTCCTTTCTTTTAGGACTCTCACCCAGATTCTAACCCTAAACATCTCAAGAACCATTTGTATTTTTCGTTTGTACGCCAAGATCTATCTTCAAAAAGTGTTCGTTTGCCTGCACATTTCAGAATGCAGGTGCTTGCGCATCAGTTATTAAGCCTCAGTGAATGTCTGTTTATTATGATTACGTGTCAGGATCTTGATGTGACTCTGTCTCTGTTAGTATGACATCGTGTATCGCTTTTACTGTGTAGTCTGTCTGGGTCTGGGCGTGCGAGTGGTTATGCCCTTAAAACGTTCCTCTTTGATGTCTGTGTGCGTTTAAGGTCTGTAGGAGTCTGTGTCTGTTCACTATCTCAGGATATTCTTCAGTATCTAGCTCCCCCACTCACTGTGTCCAATCATTTTTGACGTTTGGGCGTGTGTGGGAACAGTGGCGTGTCCTCACTCTTGCCTCGGTGAGAAAACATGACAGAGGACTCCCGGTACAACCGGCGTTCTACCGCGAAGCGCAGGTAAGGCCTTTGCGCATGCACACGTACGCAGCCCAGGAGACTAACTCTTCAGAGTCTCGCGTTCTCTCGCGCGCTCTCTAGTGGCCTCGATGGGTAGCGCTGATGGAACCAGAGGGCGGGGCTGGAGGCGGCGGAAGTGAAGTCACTTCCGGGCTGGGGTGTTTATTTGGACTGGAGAAGGGAGGCGGCGGGCGAAGCGCACGTCGAGCGGGGAAGCGGCGCTGCCTGTGGAGATCCGCGGAGGCAGATAGGATTCGTTGGCTGCCGTCCCCGCTGCCGTGCACTGGGTGAGGGAGCCCCTCGGGCAGAGCGGCGACAGGGTTGCGCCGGCCCCGGTGATCGAGAAAGAGCACCTCGGCGACAGCTGAGGGGCCTTATGGGTTCCTCGGATTGTTGTCCACCGAGCCTTTTATGGCTTCCCTTGTTTGTTGCCTTTTTCCACTAAGTCTGAGGGATGAGTTTGGGCCGACTTCCTCTCTTTCTTGTCTGAGAAATGGCCGTCGTTTTTTTTCTCATTGTCATTATTATTTATGATTTGGATCTCGCAGCCATCTATCCGGGTACTCGGTGGCGCGCGCGGGTTGCCGGGATAGCGCTTTCTCGCGTTCCCAATTCCCCTAGTCCTTTCTCCCTCCGCCCGTATCCTTTCCCCTGCCCCCAGCTACCACCTCGGCAACAAAGCTCATTGTTTCTATCCCCTTCACGCCTGCGCGTCGCCACGCGCAGCCCCTGCTTGCTGCGCGTGCGCGCTGCTGCCGAGTCGGGGGGTTGCGGGAGAGAAAGGGCGGAGGGACTGGCGTGGTGGGAACTCTCTGTAATCGTCAATGGGCCTGTACTTTTCTGATCTTTTTTCTCCCATTTCTTCGCCTTCTCTATACCGTATTTTTGGTCATGTGGTAGCCTATGCTCCGGATAGGAGAAACCTTTTGGGTCCTGTGAATTCTCCAGGTTGGCTTTGAATTAGATGAACTTTAAGATCCCATCCAATTTATGTTCTTTGACTCTGATTCTCTTACCTCTAATAATGTTCTGTGCTTACTCCCCTGCATCCCCATTATCCCCCCAAACAATATTAGTAAATAAAGCTTGTGGTGAGTTATGTCCTCGAAATATTTGTTGCAGCGGCCAGTAGTGATATTTTCTAGTGTCTCTTAAAAAGGGCTTTATCTGCTTCCTTTTGTTGTCTTGCTTTCCCTGATTTAGCAACCCCATCACATCATTAAAAACCTCTAACTCTAGAAAGGATTTATTTATATGGCTTCCAGTTTGTCTTGGCAGAAGGTCTGTCATAGCCGACAGCCTTTGACATTTATTTCAACAGAAAGCAAATTTTCATTTGCATATGCTGGCTAATCCTGTCTTGTAATGCGATGACATTGTTTTCCACAAATTTCATTAGAACAGTTGATCAGATGTAGGTTTGCATTTTCATTAAGTAATCTTTGATATTTCATCCACTGTAGGTTATGTTTCCAAATAGGAAAATGTTCTCTGTAAGGATTTTTTTTCTTTTTTTTTGAGACAGTCTCACTTTCTCGCCCCCAGTGGAGTGCCGCGGCAGCGTCACACTGCTCACAGCAACCTCCAGCTCTTGAGCTTAGGTGATTCTCTTGCCTCAGCCTCCCGAGTAGCTGGGACTGCAGGCGCTCGCCACAATGCCCGGTTATTTTTTGTTGAGGTTTGGCCAGGGCCGGGTTTGAACCCGCCATCCTCCGTATATGGGGCCAGCGCCTTACACACTGAGCCACAGGCGCCGCCCTCTGTAAGGATTTTAATGGGACTCCAGTATTTACTATTTTGTGATTTTGTTTACAATTTGTGAAAAAAAGAATGTTTGGGGCAGATTAGTCTGTTTATACTGCTTGTTAATTGTGAACTTGAACAAAAACTACTTCTCGCTGGCTGGGCACGGTGGCTGACGCCTGTAATCACAGCACCCTAGGAGGCGGAGGCAGAGGAGGGTGGATTGTCTGAGCTCACTGGTTGGAGACCAGCCCAAGCAAGAGCCAGAACCCGATCTAAAAAATAGCTGGTGGGTGTGGCGGGTCCCTGTAGTCCAGCTACTCTGGAGGCAGAGACAAGAAGATGATTTAAGCCCAAGGAGTTTGAGGTTGCTGTGAGCTGTGATGCTACAGCACTCTACACAGGGTGACAACTTGAGGCTCTGCCTCAAAAAAGAAAAAAAAAAAAGGGAAATGGGAATCCGCTGTAAAGGTTAAATGGTAAATGATGCATATTATTCCTTAAGAGCTCAAATTGAGGTAGGTAATTTCCAGCCCTTTTCGGACAGAGTAATTTTTATAGCAGGCTTTTCTTTGAATATGTACTCCGTACCTTATTCAGGTTTTTTCTCCCTACCTTATTCAGGTTTTTTCCTTCATGACGTGAGTGTGGTGCTCCAGTTTTATCTTTTTTTTGAGACAGAGCCTCAAGCTATCTCCCTGGGTAGAGTGCTATGGCATCATAGCTCACAGCAACCTCCAATTCCTGGGTTCAAGCAAGTCTCCTGCCTCAGCCTCCCAAGTAGCTGGGACCACAGGCGCCCGCCACAACGTCTGGCTATTTTTTGGTTGCAGCCATCATTGTTGTTTGGCGGGCCTGGGCTGGATTTGAACCCGCCACCTTAGGTGTACGTGGCTGGCACCTTAGCCACTTGAGCCACAGGTGCTGAGCCGCCTGGCTATTTTTTTTTATTATTATTATTTTATTTTTTAAATTTTTATTTATTTATTGCAGTTTTTGACCAGGGCTGGATTTGAACCCACTAGCTCCGGTGTATGTGGCTGGTGCCCTAGCCACTGAGCTACAGATGCCAAGCCAGTCCAGCCTTTTTTAATGAGAATTTTTTTTTTTTGAGACAAGAGTCTCACTTTGTGCCCTCAGTAGAGTGCCTTGGCATCACACCTCAAAGCAACCTCAAACTCTTGTGTTTAAGTGATTCTCTTTGCGTATCCTCCCAAGTAAGTAGCTAGGACTACAGGCATCTGCCCCCTATGCCCCATTATTTTTAGAGATAGGGTCTCGCTCTGGCTCAGGCTGGTCTTGAACCTGTGAACTCAGGCAATCCACCCACGTTGACTTCTAACAGTGCCAGGATTATAGGTGTGAGTGACCTTGCTTGGCCCTTTAATGAGAATTCTTAAGAGATAAAACTAAGGGAGAAAGATTGTAAAACCTAAGAAATTTTTGTATTTTAAAATTCTATAAACAGTATAAAAGGACACTGTTTGAAACTAATATCTCTAAGAGGCATTTCAGGAGGGAAAAAATAAAATTTTCTAAAGATGTGAGTGTGTAGGTTGAATATGTTTGCTAACTTCCAGGCAGCAAACCTATTTCCTACTAAACACTGAACATATTTAGTAGGAAAAAAATTAATTCTTTATCTTTTTTGTTTTTTTGAGACAGAGTCTCACTATGTCACCCTTGGTAGACTGCCGTGTGGCGTCACAGCTCATAGCAACCTCCAACTCTTGGGCTTAAGTGATTCTCTTACTGCTGCCTCCCAAGTAGCTGGGACCACAGGTGCCCGCCACAAGGCCCAGCTATTTTTGTGTTGTTGCAGTTGTTTTTTGGCCCAGGCCAGGTTCGTACCTGCCACCCTCAGTTTATGTGGCTGGCTCTGTAACTATTGTGATATGGGTGCTGAGCCAGAAAAAAATTATTCTTACCTAACTGAAATCTTATGAAATTTATGAGGTTAAACATTAAAAAAAAAATTTTTTTTTTTTTTGAGACCGTTTCAAGCTGTCTTCCTGGAGAGAGTGCTGTGGTATCATAGCTCATAGCAACCTCCAACTCTTGGGCTCAAGCGATCCTCTTGTCTCAGCTTTTTCTATTTTTAGTAAAGACAGGGTCTCACTGTTGCTCAGGCGGGTCTCAGATTCATGAGCTCAAGCAATCCACCCACCTTGGCCTCTCCGAGTGCTAGGATTACAGGTGTGAGCCACTTCCCCCCGCATAAAGGAATATTTTACATAAATGAAAATTAAACCAAAACAAAGGTGTTAAGGTAGGGGAAGGGGAAGATGATGGGTAGAAGAAAAGGGTGAGCAATGATTCTAGTCAAACATAAGTAGATAATAATGTGAGTTGTTAAGTATTCTATTAAAAAATTATTTTAAATGATATGTTCTGTTAAGCTAAAACCTGATAGCATGAATCTAACAGTGCTAAATAATTTCCACAAAACCTAGAAGATCCCTGAAGGAGGAAGTGGGTAAGTAAAATTTTTTCGTTTTTATTTTTATTTTGTATTTTTTAGAAACAGGGTCTCTCATTCTGTTGCATGGGCTGTCTTAGCTCACAGCATCCTTGAACTCTTGGACTCCCAGAGAGCTGGAATTATAGGTGTTAGCCACTGTGCCTGGCCAGTAAAATTTTCCCTTGTCTGGCTAATCAAATTATTCTAAAAGTCTTGCCTTGGATAGCAGCAGATTAGGTATACTGGAGAAGGAAAAGCATTCTGAATGTTCTGTTATTTGTTTATTTATGAATGAGTGAATGACACAGAGTCTCTATCACACTGGATGGAGTACTGTGGCATCATCACAGCTCACAGCAACCTTGAACTCTTGGGCTCAAGGGATCCTCTTGCTGTTTATTTTTACTTTTTTTTTTTTTTTTTTTGAGACAGAGCCTCAAGCTGTCCCCCTTGGGTAGAGTGCCGTGGCATTACAGCTCACAGCAACCTCCAACTCCTGGGCTCAAGCGAGTCTCCTGCCTCCGCCTCCCAAGTAGCTGGGACCACAGGCGCCCGCCCGGCTATTTTTTGGTTGCAGCCGTCATTGTTGTTTTTTGGCGGGTCCGGGCTGGGGATTCGAACCCGCCACCTTAGGTGTACGTGGCTGGCGCCTTAGCCGGTTGAGCTATAGGCGCCGAGCCTTTTACTTTTTTTTTTAAATTATTTTTATTTTTTTGTTGTTGCAGTTTTGGCCAGAGCTGGGTTCGAACCCACCACCCTCAGTATATGGGACTGGCACACTACTCGCTGAGTCACAGGCGCCGCCCTATTTTTACTTTTTATTTATTTATTCTTTGCAGAGACAGAGTCTTTATCGCCCTTGTTAGAGTGCTGTGATGTCACACAGCTCACAGCAACCTCCAATTCCTGGGCTTAGGCAATTCTCTTGCCCCAGCCTCCTGAGTAGCTGGGACTACAGGCACCTGCCACAACGCCCAGCTATTTTTTGTTGCAGTTTGGCTGGGGCTGGGTTGAACCTGCCACCCTCATTATATGGGGCCGGTACCCTACCCACTAAGCCACAGGTGCCACCCTATTTTTACT